TATATATATTATGAGTGCATTTTGTGGCTATATGGTGCTTGGGTGTATAGTCATATCATAGTAAATTATGGTGAATAAAATTGTTTTCTTAAATTGTTTAATTTGTGAAAATTTATTAAGAGGTTGCTGAAAGTTTGTTCATTCTTTTCTTTGGATGTTAGTCATAATAAATATTTTTTATATAATTTAGTCAAGTTTATTTGAACTTTGGTCAATTGAGTAAATTAATCATGAATGATGTTTATGCATGCTGAAAGGCATTTTTGCTAAGTTATAAGATATTATTTAAATTTTGCATGATAATAATTTACAAGAATTAAAAATAAAATTTTAAATTTTACAAAAAAATAAAATAAAATAAAATAAAATTGTTTTGCAAACTAGATTTTGTAAGCTATAACGTCTCTAAAGTCATATACCATTATTAGGTGGCATTTATGATCCTCAGTCATCCAATGCAATTCAGGGTTCATATTATATAAGTTTAGAAATAGTGCTCAATCATACACATTTTATTTGTGTTAAGCTACAAGTTAATGCAAATATAGCATTAGTTTTGTTACAAGGATAGAAATAGTTTAATTCAATATTCATAAAAGTAATTCTTCCATGTTGACGTTCGCATCCACAATATTCACGAAAGGCTTTAACGAGCATTGCTCCCCAGCATTCACCCGGTGAACAATGCTCGCTAAAGCATCATTACCGACATAGGGTCACTCACCTATTGAGTCTAGCTCGCTTTCGAAACACGCATGTGGATGCAGGTACAAGCATATGGCATACAAGATCACCAATCATGTAAATGAAAAACTCAAGTGTAGATATGCCACAAACTCAATAGTTTTAGAGGCTTTAATGTTGAGTATACGACGTGAAATGGCTTGTGGTGTTCAAATGTGACACCACAAGAGATGCGGTGGTATGCCTCCGTATAGGAAAATTGTACATTGGAAAAATAGCATGGCTAGTCGCCATTCACCACAAAAAATGTGAATATTAAACCACACACACGTAGTGGTATATGTGTGAGATGATACTGCTGTTGACCTCACTTTTGGTTGAGGTCTAGAAAACTTCTTTAGTAGCCTAGGTCTAGCCATAGGACTCTCCTATTGACTAGTCTTAAGAAATTAGAAGAGATACCCCACCATTAGAAATTCAAAACTCCTGTTTTTTATTCTAATTGAAACCACATATTGATCTTAACCTCTAGCATTTAGTAGGTAAGATCATTATAAGAGAATTCAAGAAAAGCCCCTATAGGATTACTTGGCTTTAGGATTGACCCTGGGTGTTGATTTGAAGCTAAGATACATTATACTCTTACTATATTTTCACAATACACTAATTAAGATCAATACATGAGAGCCCAAAATGGGGATTTCATTTATTCATGGTTCATTTAGAATGGATATCTATCCAATTCTATGTGAAATGCCTAACTTGGTCTCCTAACTTGGTTATTTGCCTCTAGGCACCTCCAAATTATCCAACTGCCCTTGGAACCCAAATTTGGCCAAAATTCCCAAATTTTGCCAAAATACCCAAAATTGATCAAAACTCATTCCAAATACTTTGAATACATCCAAATTTGTCAAAATTTCCAAAAATATCCAAATTACCAAAATACCCCTTCATGACCCAAAATCTAAAAATTCCAAAAAATTCCCAATAAATCCTAATAAATCCAAAATATTCCTAATTTCATTTTGTCCAACTACACCTTGGTCAAATTTGGTCAATATGACCATCTTTGACAAAATCCCCAAATTAGCCCCAATATTGGCTAACACCCCAAATCTCAACAATTGAATGCCTTAGATATCAAATTGGCATCCAATTTTTGTTGAAAATCCTTTATAAGATCATTTTT